TTCCTTTTTATAAACCTTTATTTAAAAATATTTTTTATTGATTTTAGAGGGAGAGGACGAGAGACAGAAACATCAATGAGAGAAACATTGATCAGCTGCCTCCTGTAAGCCCCCTACTGGGGACCCAGCCAGCAACCTGGGCCTGTGCCCTGACCGGGAATCGAACCCGTGACCTCCTGGTTCCTAGGTCGACAGCCAACTGCTGAGCCACGTGGGCGGGGCTAAAGGCATTTGTTCATAAACTGAGTTTACTTTGAGGCCCTGCTAAAGGCAGCAGGATGGAGCACACTGCCGCCCTGCAGGCCGCTGGGTGTAGAGGACCCCTGGGCGGGGCCAGAAGGGCCCTGGGCGGTGACCTCATGGGTGCGAGCTGGGTCCCCACCTGAGGCCTCACCGGTAGCCACGGAAACGCAGAACCGCACCGGATTGCAGGACGGTCTTCCCGTTCCCGTGAATTCCGAGGAGTCCAGGCTGGTCTTTTCATGTCAGCCCCGTTTTTGGTGCTAAAATGAATTTTTGTCATTGTTTTTCACACATGAAAGGCAAACCGTGAGCGTGAGCAACCACCGGGCCTGGTAGATGCCAGCTGGTGTCGTGCACTCGCGGTAGCGCAGCTGCAAGTCCGCATTGCCCGCCCGCCAGGCCCTGGGCACGCGTGGCTGCTGCAGCTGGACGGGCATCGCTTCCTTTTCTTTATGCCCTGAAACACGAGGTGGGCTGGGGAGGAGGCCGCTGCCCTGAGGCCCGTGGGGGGTGAGGGCTCACGTCGGAGCCCCAGGACGCGGACGTCACCTTGGGGAACACCGTGTTCTTCACCTGCAGGGCCGAGGGCAACCCCAAGCCCGAGATCATCTGGCTACGGAACAAGTGAGTGGGCGCTGGCCGGGCGCTGGGGGGGCAGCTCGCCCATCCTGCAGGCCCCCTGTGTCTGCTCCTGGGGACACTGTCCAGAGAACTTTCTCATCATTAGTGTCTCTCTCGCCCTTCCTCTCTGAAATCAATAGAAGCACAATAAGTAAATAAGTAAACGAGAGGGAGACGAACACACTGGCTCAAGCCCTTCACGTCTCTGTTTATAAGCGAACCAACTGATGCGAAAAGTATGGCTGAGCGAGCCCCTGCCTGGCATCTGGTGCCCCCTGTGCCAGCCACCCCTCCAC